AACATTTTTGTTATTTTTTTTTAATTAATTGTTTTAATTTATTTTTAAAGACTGTTTCACCAAAAATAGCAGAACTTTATTTTTTTAAATTGACAATAATGACCTACTTCTTCTAGGATCAAATTTTTGAATTGTACCAACCCTTATAAAATGTAAAAATAAATACCCAATTGCTTTTAAATTTCGCATATCCCAATATTTCTAACATTTCTAGGTCAGGTATGAAGATGGGACTAGGCTAATCACTAATTCCAGTACCTTACCCACAACGGGTCAATTTTTTCAATAACCATGAACCTTGCAAAACGCGAAATTATCATCTTATCCCTTCGAACTCTACAAATCCCAATATTTTTATTAACATAAGATCAGGTGTGATGATGTGAAGATGAATAGATGAAGGTGAGTAGATCGGATCATTGCTACTTGTACCTCCCCCGGGTCAAAATTTTAAGAAACTATAACTCTCATAAAATGCCAGAAATCAAACGATAATTTTCATTTTTCGCACATTCTCATATTTCTACTTAGACAAGATCTGCTTCGAAGATGGTTTAGGAGATTCTGGTACATTCCCCACAAGGGGTTGAAATTTTCGATGGATAAAACGCTATTAAAATGCGATATAGGCACCCGCTTCTTCTCAAAATTCACACCTACCAATATTTTTATTCACGCAAGATTGTAAAATATATCGGCACATCCGTTGTGGTACCTCCCCCATGAAGGGTCAATAACTCACGTCAAAATATATTTAAATTAATGAACATTGTCTAAGGGTATACATGTGTCGGCAAAACCGACTGGTATTTTTCAACTTTTTTTAGTTATTTATTTAATTAGAAGATTTAAAAAAAATCACCAAATATCTGGAATTTTAAAAAAGCATTTCTTTTAATTCTCTTACCGCTAATAGTTAAGTTTTACAGGGATCTTATGTCCAAAATACCTAAAATATTTTCAGAGACTAATATATATTTAGAGACTGAAATATTTTTAGGGACATTATAACCTAAAATTATGGATATTTTTAAGAACTTTTTGAAAAAAAAAAAATAAATGTTCAATGACTGCTCCGACATAAATATATCGTCCTCATTTGATCAAACTTTTACAAGGCCTCGACAGAAATTCTTTTATTTTTAAGAAAAAAATTTCAAGCTCCTCTGACCAAATATCGTTTGTTTTTTTATTCACTTTCTTAAAGATCTGCTGTACAGAATTCTAGGACTTTCAGGATGAAAACCATGGAGTTTTTCAAGGAAAGACGAGCAAACATAATGTTTTTTAAAGTATATTTGTTAAACCAGTCATATGTAAAATCAATAATTTTTGAAAAATATCTTTGAAGTTTCGATTCTATGCAAGAGTATTCTGGCCCAAAAGCTATTATTTTAGGATTTACATTCCTTCAGAAAGACATGAATTTTTAGGAATATAAAATTCGAAAATTCCCCATTGTAATTAATATGAATGATCAGAGTAATTTAAAAAAAAAAAACTTATTGAAATTACAAAGGTTCAACTTCGGAAGTCTGGCTGACATCATCTTTTATTTATTAATGGAATAATATACACGTGTCCGTAGGGATTTACAGTTTGTCCACTAAAACTTTCAATGAAGAGAAAGTGCTATATGTAAATACCCAGTCAAATAATTTTGTATTTTGTACATGGATCGCGTCATTTTGGGAATATTCGCCGTTGATTTGCGTTGGAAACCGGTTTATGGAACAAATTTGACCTATATTCAGATAATGAATGAATGAAATTCAATAACTTACATAATGATGGTATTTGGAATATGAATATTCTAATTTTGATGGCACTCAATAACGTGTGTTATTTATGAAGAAGTTTTCGTTAAAATTCAGACATGGCAACTAGATCATCAAAAAAAAAAAAAAAAAAAAAAAAAAACGGTGACATTTCTATCTATCTAATATATGTGTAACCAGACAAGTTTGAAGCCAACCTTATTCATTTTAATTAAAAAAAAATATGATTTTCATACTACTCCAAACTTTTATATGTATACATACATTTATATACAAATGCTATCATGGTGCTGGATTATTGTTCTATGAGAAAATAATTTCGCTTTTATTTTATTAATTTTCGTTTATTATTTATATTTTTATGAAAGGCTAGTAAATACCCGCTACTTCGTCAGCGAAAGGCTACCTAAAAAATTTTAGAATCGTTCCAATAGTTGGTGTAAGGCCATTTTAGTACTCATACCACTAAATTTGCAATCAATTTCAATTTTTTATATTATTCAAGCTTTTCCTTTTGCGGAGACAATAATATTAAGATCTTTATCTTTTACACAGGAAAGTCTTAAAATTCTTTTATTTTGATGTTCACTGAGGAGGATGTTGCTAAAATCATTGCAAAATGGTCAAAATCTTTCTTTTTTTAAACCTAAACCAACTGTGACCGCAATATCAAATTTCAGAATTTCAGCTCTTTTAATTCACCCACACTCAAAAAAATCCACAAATCTCCATCCTAGACACCAAAAGTTATCCGAAATTAGTACCATTTAGTTTTTTTCAAACAATTTTGGTAGGCATTTGCACAAACACCATCAAAGGGAGACCTCAATATCAAATTTTGGGATTCCAGGCCTATTCCTTTACCCAATACCAAATTGTGGTAACATTTACTTTTCGTCCATCTCCATATCTCAACCTCAAATACCAACAGTGACATTGATAACAAATTTCAGGATTACAGTTTTTTGATTTCCCCTATTACCAAATTTAGTACCATTTAGTACAATTACAAAACTCATAACCAAAACCACGATTTAAGCCCTATTCCCCAAAGCAATACCAAATTTGGCACAATTTAGTACTTCTCATACAATTATAGTACATATTTCAAAAACCACCTCCATATCTCAATCCCAGATACAAAAAGAGACCTCAATATCAAATTTCGAGATTCCAGATCTATATCTTAACCCAATACCAATTTTATGTCAATCAGAGATACTAACGGAGACCTCAATATCAAATTTCGGGATTCCAGTTCCATCCTTTCAGCCAATACCAAATTAAGTACTCATTAGTATTTTTCTTACAATCATAGTACATATTTTTGAAAAACCACCTTCATATCTCAATACCTATATTTAGAACTTTTCGTACAATTATAGTACATATTTCAAAAACCACATCTATATTTCAATCACAGATACTAATAGAGGCCTCAATATCAAATTTCGGGATTCCAGCTATATCTCTTCACCCAATTCCAAATTTAGTACCATGTAGTACTTTTCGTATAAATAAGGAACTCATTTCCAAACCACCCCCAATTTTCAAACACAGATACCATCAGTAATCGAAATATATAATTTCAGAATTTTATCTCTATCCATTCACCCATGACCAAATTTTGTACCATTTAATACTTTTCGTACAAATCTGGACGTTATTTCAAACCTCTGCCAAATATCAAAAACAGATACCACCAGTAATCTGAATATCTACAGGGTGAGATAAAAAGACTGCAACCAAATTCAGACTTCTGTCACTTCTAAGCCACTAGTTCGACAGATGTTAAAATTATTCCAGTGACAGCTCATTATATTGTTTAATTAATTGTTTAAGTTATTCGTGATGGAATTCAAGCGTGATAGTGTATTTTTTTTTTGTATTTGGCGGGAAAACCACTATTGTTAGAGCACTCCAGCATTTAAATGTGAATAAATCTTTTGTGTCTCGTACCATCGCTCGTTACCGTGATACTGGTAGCGTAGCCCGACGTCAAGGAAGTGGACGGAAGAAAACAGCAACATCAGCAGAAATGGTTCGAAAAGTAAAGAAGCGACTTGATAGAAACCCGCCTCGCAGTGGCCGAAAGCTGAATATATCGCAATATTCCATTCGGCAAATATTGAAAAATTAGTTCGTGGTAATGTGAGCTCAGGGACGAAATTCCAAAAAGTGGTAGAACTTACACCTCAACAGAAAGAAAACAGACTCAAAAGAGCTTCGCTTGGCCGAAAGTGGTGAACTTCCGAATTTGGGTTTCTCCGATGAGAAAACATTCGTTGTCCAGCAGTTTGTAAACAAACAAAATTATCATGTTTACTTGCCAAAGAGGTCAGCTGGAAATGTGCACCTTCGGTTAGCCATGGTGATGGTGTGGCCCTCATAACAACCGATGGTCGCTCTCCGCTCATATTAATCGACCGTGGTATCAGAATAAATGCCACTAAAGCCTATTACTCTTTCATTCAATAACATTAAAAAAATAAATAAATAAATAAAAATTATGGTGTTTGACTTGTTGCATTTTTTATCACCCTATTTATACAAATTTTCGATTTCCAGTATAACAAAAATTGAACGCATATATTCCCACCTTCTATAAATTCCTCACGTTTAGACTAAATTATAAATTATGTCGAAATTATTATCTTACAATTTATTTCTAATATGTATGACGTAGATGTTTGGCTATCAGAGCGAAATCTTCCGTACTAGGCTTATTTTATAAATATTTTTGGGGAATTTACCATTTAAATATATAACCTATTTTGCCGTTAGTTTATTTTCAAAACACCAAATGTGTGTCAGTATGTGAATTATTGTTAATTTATTTACATTTCAAATTAGATTTACATTTCTTATTTACACCAAACGCTTGTTTGTAAAAAGCTAAAAAAAGAACGTTTACATTTATGATACACAACATTTTTGGGGCAGAAGAGAAAGGTCTAATCGATGTAACAATCAGTTAACCACAGTTCGAGCTGGGATCATGATCTACAGATCACTCTTGATGACTTTGGTCTTCTTGATTTGCCTCGGGCAAATATTAGCAGGACAAGGATTTCGAAATAATTTTAGAAGCGCCGACACATATAAACGGAGATTTTCGACAGATTCATGGGAAGGTTTGGATATACCCGAACTAGAAAGGCGCTTGAGTGTGTTGGAAAACCAGGAAAGAGTATTGGAGTCACAGCTAAGAAATGCCGGAAATCAGCAAGGGTTTCGAAGGAATCATCAAGCCCCATTCCGCCAGAATTTGCCAGTGATTAAAAGGCAGCCAAATAAGAAAAATCAACGGAAAAATAAAGTATCTTCTAAACCCTTTACAACAAATGGAAATCAGAAGATAAATATGCAGCCAATTAGAAAAAATCACTTAAAAAATAGGACCTCCCCAAGACCATCAATAATAAGTGGACAACAGAATTTAAAGAATCAGTCAATTTCACAAAATCACAGCACTACCCCAAGACCAGCAATAATAGTTGGTCAACCAAATTTTCCTCTCAATGGTTTTAATGCAAACCTACTGGCATTTCCAAATGCAAATATGCACATTGGAGGACATCCAATGCTTGTAACCCTGGCCAACCCAAACCAACCAAACGATACACCAAATGGTCGCATATTTTCATTCGGTCAAAATAGCCCTGTTTCGGGTGGTACTACACCATTGAATTTTATGGGTCTTGGCAACATTTTGCAAAACACCTTCTCCACTGTGGAAGATATTAAAAAGAAACCCTTGAAACAAAAGAGACGCAAGAAGCGTCCGACGAGGAGGCCAAAACCTACGAAAAGACCAAAGCCAACAAAGATCCCCAAGCCGATCGTGAAGCCACCAATTATTATTCAGCCGCCTCATATTATATACGTGCCGTATTGTCCAAATAAACCTACAACCACCACAACAACAACCACAACGCCTGCTCCTACTACAACATCAACCACGACGACCACAACTACACCACCGCCTCCAACGGCCACTACCACAAGCACAACAACTACTACAACAACGGAGGCCCCTACAAGTTCGAGCACATCATCTTCAACCACATCGACTACTACCACATCTACAACCACAACAACAACAACTACTACTACAACGACAACTGAAGCGCCTACGGAAGCTCCAACCGAAGCGCCAACAGAAGCCCCCACCGAGGCACCAACTGAAGCTCCCACCGAGGCACCAACTGAAGCTCCCACTGAGGCTCCAACTGAAGCACCCACCGAGGCACCTACTGAAGCACCCACCGAACCACCAACCGAACCACCACCAGACGAAACGACAACCACCACCACAACGACGACAACCAGACGTCCACGCCCACCATGGTGGCCTTGGGATAACAGAAGAAGTTCGTTATTAAGGTCGTGGTCATGGAATTTGAGATATCATGATTCCAATTCCAATGAAGTGAATTAAATAAAATTTTTCTCTCTCTCTGCTCGACCTAACGGTGTTTTTTCTTTATTCAAAGCAGTATTGTGCTTTGAGTGTATTGAGTAATTTTGAGGGGATTTTTACCATTTCAGTCATATTTCTACAAAATGTATATTTTTTATCATTGGTTTCGACCAAAATGTGCCTCAACGAAATATCGGTTTTAGGTTTCATGTCTCTAAGGAGGAAATCCGTTGTACATTGTATTTTTCCATCAGGTTCTAAGGTGGGCAATACTGTTATACACTTTCAGGTATAATCTACACAAACTGCCACGTTTTTATAAAGAAAAAAACAAAAAAAAAGTGAATGGACTATTTTAATTGTCTGTAACTTCGAAAATCATAATATTTAAATAAGACTTAGTTCAAGTATGAAAAGGAACAATCGATCCACTTTTTTATACCCCCTCGTCCTACAAATGGGAGGCATTTGAAATAACCATTAGGGTTGGATTATTACAACCACACCACTTAGAGATCTGCTGTTCCATTGTGTTCATCCTTAAATTCAGAGAAAAATTAAACGAGAAAGAGAGGAACAAAAAAAGTTTGGCAGAATTGATATGTGATCCACGAAGAGATTAACGACTCGTCTTTAGCCACTTTAGTCTTCAAGCTAACTGGACAATAATTGCTGGTTCAGTTTCGGAGAATAAAGACAAATTGTAGAGAATTTTCTTACCCATAAGCCTATGTCGAACATAGAAGAGAGTGGGGCTGTAAGTGATCCAACGTTTCAGTTTCCTCCTCTTCTTCACAAAGCCTGTAATATTTAATGTCGACGTCGTCCCACTTAGAAGTCGTGCCCCTTTTATTAAAGTAACCTGTGATAAATCCCACTAGAAGTTTTAGGTCTATTTTCGCATAACCTTGAGTGGCACAAGCGTGGCCGTACAGAGTTGTTGATCTCCAAATCGATTGACTCGGATCCAAGTCTTGCAGGTTCATCTGCTGATTAATTTCCAGAGAGGTTGCAATGCCCTGAAACCCAACAAAGCTGCGTTTCTACACTTGAATTAAGTTCTTTCAGGGTCACTTGATTATCGGCATGTATAGTCCAGTTCACTTTTGCTGTCTACCAGCAGGTCTGCGGCTTATTTTTAATGACACAGATCTCTGCCTGGAATATGCTTGAAGGAGTCTATGATATTCAGGTTTTTGGCAGAAAAACCCCTAACCCGTTCCACTCTCCATCTTTGAGACATTGACATAGACGATCTCTTGAAGCTACGCACATCTCAATATAAATACCAGCAAATATGGGATATATCGAAACACTTCTTACAAATTTTTCAAAAAAAAACAAAAAAAAAACACACACATACACAGCGAAGGGAGTGCCTAGTATTATCAAGAAAATGGAAAATATCGTCCAACCCATCCTCGGACAAGCTTTAGATCAACATTTGATCAATAATTACGCCTATAAAAATGTGAACTTTGTTACCCTATTTACACACTCAGGAATATGGGATATCATGTACCAATCACATAAAGGGTCGACATTTTAAAAAAAGGTGAAATAAGAGTCCAATTTTCTTAAAATTTCACATATCTCAATATATCTACCAACTCAAGATCTGGTATATCGGGCTACCCCTTTTGATACCTCCCCCTCAAGGGGTCAAAATTTTTAATAACCTTATCGACAAAAAATCTTGTGTAAAGATGGAATATATCCGACCACTCCATCTGGTACCCTCCCCTGAAGGGGTCAACATTTTTATTATTTCTAACCACCCGATTCGTTTCAAACTCGGTACATTTCAATATTTCTACTAACACAATATCTGCTGTGAAAATGAGATAAATCGGCCCTCTCTTCTGGTACCTCCCCCAGAAAGGGTTCAACATTTTGAATAACCAAAACTATCTTAAAATAATAAATAAGATTCCGATTCTTCGGAACCTTCCCGAGTCAAAATATATTTAAGTAAATGAACGTTGGCTGAGGATATGCATCTGTCGGCAAAACCGACTGATACATTTTAACTTGTTGTAAGAATAGTTTGAAATTTCCTGAGCGAAAAGGGGGATATTCTCAAATAATTTATCGTAAATCAGATAAATAAGAATTTTTTTAAAATTTTTGTTTCTGAATTCGTGGTTTTCTATGAGACTTACATTTTTTACGAATTTATTTTTCAAGGACTGAGCTATAGGATTCTTTGACTACAAATGTAAAATTTTCCACAATCCTCGGACGGTATTTTTTTTTCCTAAGAATGTTGAATTTATATTTTTTTTAGAATTTAATTTTGAAGTGTTTAATGAGCCAATATCGTGGAATTTTTATGCGTTCTTTAAGAACATACAGGGTGACATGAAAAAAGACCACATTTTCTCTTTTGGGTCTTTAGCTCTTTTGGGTCTATTTTCTTTCTGTTGCGGTGTAAGTTCCAGCACTTTTTGGCATTTCAATGGCTTAACCCGAGCTCATTTTCAATATTTGCCGAATGGAATATTGCGATATGTTCAGCTCACGAGCCATTTTTCGGCCACTGTGACGCGGGTTTCGATCAAGTTGTTTCTTTACTTTTCGAACCATTTCTGCTGATGTTGCTGTTTTCTACCGTCCACTTCCTTGACGTCGAGCTACGCTACCAGTATCACAGTAACGAGGGATGGTACGAGACACAAAAGATTTATTCACATTTAAATGTTGGAGTCCTCTAACGATAGCCACTTGTGGTTTCCCAGCCAAATGTAAAGAAATCACACCGTCACGCTTGAATTCCATCACGAATACCTTTCTTGTCTGGAAAATTCTCAACAAAATGCTTTTGAACGCTTGTAAACAATATAATGAGCTGTCACTTGAATAACTTTAACAGCTGTCGGGCGAGTGGCTTAGAAATGACACCAGTCTGAAGTTTGTTGCAGTTTTTTCATCTCACCCTGTAGTGCTTAGAAGACGTATTTTTCGAATAAGGACTTATTTATAATAAAAATAAAACCTCGGCAAATCTGTTTAACCCAGGCAACCTTTTTACACTCCGTATTGTACAGATTGGGTATTACCCAACATATTAAAGGTTGGGACTTCTATGATGCTAATATATACAAATATCCACCACCAAGTCGGCGGCCACACTGACCACTCTACAGACAGCGGAGATAAGACAGACTGAGATATTTGAACAGTAATTATTGAAAAAAATCTAGATGACGTAGCATCATATTTAAGTCGTTCGCCCAGGACCTAGGAATCTGCGCTAAATTGAAAAGAATGAACGATATTTTTAGTTGCTACTCGTGAGCACTTGAGGAAGCAAAGAAGCATTACTTTGTTTGGGCCACTTATATTGTGTTTTTTGGTTAGATTTGCAGCTCCAAATACAAATATCAGTCAATGGAAAAGTATTCAAATTCTTTGAATGCTTCCCTGAGAACTAGAGCAAATTTATATATACGAGGAAACAAAGATTATTCGCGTACGTGAGTAAAATCATGAGCTTTCTTTACTGTATCTGATGCATTTATTTTTGGTTCCCAACACCCTATTATTGGTTTTGTAGCTATACGTTGCCTATTATGTAAGGAGGAGCTTTTTTTAATATTTTTTGACTTGCAGCTACCAAAATTCAAAAAAGAAAGATATCGTCGCTGCTTTCCTATATCGCTTTCTTATATTATATATAAGCCGAAAAAAGTTTTTTTACGCTGTTATTTAACAAATGACCCGAAATATATTATGGCTTAGGGTTATGCTTATTAAAATTAATTTTAAATTGACCAATAATTTATTGCCGATGCATAAATTTGTGGTCACTTCTCTTTTTTCATTTTGTTTTTTTTTTTTCATAGGCGCAAATGAACATAGGCCAAAAAACGAAACATAAAGTTCTGCATAGCTTCCAGTCTTAGTTTTACCAAGCTGGGAATATGAATATATATTTTCTGCAGCTGATCATAGTCGTTGGTTTCAATCTACAAAATGTGACCGGTAAACCAAAATTTCGAGCGGAAAAAAACGAAACATTTCGCGAAAGTCGTATTGTTTCCGCATTGAATTCGAATGGCGTTGCAATTGACAATAAAAATACAAGTGGATTGACATTATTCTATTTTAATCTCAATAATGTTACAAACTTTAATCTAAATGTAACGGAAAATGTGAAATTTAAAAACTCTACGAAATCAGAGGACCAAGCAACAGGTTCTACAGTGGATAATAAAAACGATTTAACAACCTCCACAATTACACCATCGACAACAACTGAAAGCGATGGTTGGCGGGCTACCCGAACAACTCGTCGTAGCAGGAAACCAACCAAAAAGCGGCCAAAGAAACCCAAACGACCAAGGCCTGGACCAACCAAAGCGAATAGCAGACCTAAGCGTCCCACGGTGAAACATCCCATAATACCATATCCAGATTATTTTTACAGTCACTGTCCATGTGTGGGAACACCAAGTCCCCTAGAAACAACGACAACAACTACACCGATGCCTGCAACCCAAACAATGTCAACCATAAGTGCAGCTAAGAGTACAATGAAACCTCGCTCCACCACAACCCGAAGTAGTTCTTGGTGGTGGTCCTGGCGTAATGATCGTGTGGTGACTAATGTAAATCGTAATAAGAACGGTACAAGCTGGACCTTGACCTATCAAATGCAAGATACCCAGAAAAATTAATTTCAATAAAACGGAAATTATACACACCTTTGACAACGTCTTTTTCTAAAACAGGAATATGTTTTGCAGAGTAATTTTACGAAGTTTAAATGTTTTGATTGCGAAATATTTGTGTATTTTCTAGATTGCAAGTAGGGCAGCAAAACCTTTTCTTAATTACAAATTTATTACAGATGTGCAAATTTTCCGAAAATGGAAATATGCGTCAGGTAACAGATATAGCGGACCGAAGTGTTCCATTTTCATACATCATCTAATACGGATAAAAATATTGGTATGTGAAAATTTTGAAGGAAATCGAACATTCGTATCGAATTTTATGCGAAATCATAAATTCCGACAAATTACATATTCATATCAGAATACTGGTTAAGAGAAATATTTAGATATAGCAAGTTGTAAAGAATCGCCGACTTGTTTTGCAAGATATGATAGATATAAGTATTGGAAATTGTGACCCTTTGTGGGAGAGGTGAAATTTGAAGACAATCGGACTCTTACATCACATTTTAGAGAGTTGTAATTATTGAAAACTTTGACACTTTGAGGTACCAGAAGGAGTGGACCGATATGGACCATTTTCACACCTGACCTAGCACTGACGTATTTATTAGGATTTGCAAAGTTGGAGCAAAATCGGATTATCGTTTCTCTTTCTATGCAAAAACTATTTTTTTTTTTGAAAATTTCGACCTTTTGTGGGGGAGGCACCAGAAGGAGTGGGCCGATATTATCCATCTCCGAACTCGATCGAAAATAATATTACGATGTACCACGTTTGGATCAAATCGAATAATCCCTTCGAAAGTAATCGTGCGCACCAGCCAGACAGACGGACGGACGGACATCTAGATCGACTCCAAATGTTTTGAAACGGATTTGGTCAAAAGAGACCTGGGGTCTAAAACCGTTATTTCGACTAGGCACGTTTTGACCGTATGAAATGATATATACCCTCTGTATCCATATGGCTGAGGGTATAAATATTTAAAATTTGGCCCTTTGTGGAGTCTAATCTTTAAGCTTGTTTGCATTTTATGAAATCCACAATTATTCATAATTTTAACCCGTTGTGTGAGAGGTACCAGAAAGAATGGTCCGACATATTCCATCTTCGCAACAGATTTTGCTTTAATAAAAATATGGGGTTTTGGGAAATTCAAGGAGAATTGGATGCATTTTGCATTTTATGAGCTTCAAGGCTATTGGAAATGTAAACCCATTGCGGAGGAGTTTCCAGAAGAAGTGGACCGATAAATTCCATCTTCACAACAGATCTCGTGTTACTAGAAATATTGGGATGAGTGAAGTTTGAAGACAATCGGACTCTTATTTCACATTTTATAAGAGTTCGGATTATACAAAATGTTGACCCTTTGTTGGGGAAGTACTTGATGGAGCGGACTAATATGATACTAATATTAGTATTCAAAAGTTGGAACAAAATTGAATGAATTATTCTTATTCTATGACGTAAATTATTTTCTATGAAATTTGGACCTTTGTGGAGGAGGTACCAGAAGGAGTGGACCGATATTGTCCATCTCCGAACTCAATCTATGTTTGATAATAATTTTACGATGTACCAAGTTTGGATCAAATCGGATAATCCCTACGAAAGTTATCGTGCCCACCAACCAGCCAATTAGATGGACGGACGGACACTCCTAGATAGACTTCAAATGTCCTGAAACGAATTTGGTCTAGAGAAATCTAGCGTCTTAAGCCGTTATTTTGATGAGCCACGTTATGGCTGCATCGAATGATATATATCGTTTGCAGCCATATAGCAGTATAAAAACTTCAAATAAAGAAATCTACAGGGTGAGAAAAAAAACTACAACAAAGTCAAACGCCATAATTTTTGCATGTGTATTAATTTTTTTTTGAATGAAAGCAAAAAATGTCGGAAATATCATAGATTTGTTAGAATTGGCCACCTTTGGCACGAATTATGACCTTCAAACGGCCAACGACCTTGAGGTGATGGACACTTTGATATTTTTTAGTGTCAACCTTGCTTTCCAAAATACTCCAGACACAATAGTCCAACGGATTGGTATCCGGAGATTTTGGTGGCCATTGTGCACTGGAAATGAAGCGAGGAACCTTATTTTGTAAGCATTCTTTGGTGGAGCGTGCTGAGTGCTATGGTCCTTCGTCCTGGTGGAATGCCCAAGATCTGCGGCCAAAATGTTTGCGTGCCCAAGGCTTTAATACACCCTCCAAAATATTTTCGCGATAATATTCGGCAAGAGCGACCATCGGCTGTTGTGGCGGCCCACACCATCACCATGACCGGCGCTTGAGTTCTGGTGGCCAACCTCTTTGGCAAGTAAACACGATCATTTTGTTTGTTTATAAACTATTGGACAACGAATGTTTTCTCATCGGAGAAAACCAAATTCGGCAGTTCTTCACTTTCGGCCAAGCGAAGCAACTCTATAGGTCTTCAAAGTCTATTCTGTTGCGGTGTAAGTTCTTGCCCTTTTTGGGATTTCAATGGCTTTACCCGGGCCTTATTTTTGAATACTTGCCGAATGGAATATGGCGAAATGTTCAGCTCATGAGCCATTTTTCGGCCACTGCGACACGGGTTTCGATCAAGTCGCTTCTTTACTTTTCGAACTATTTCTGCTGATGTTGCTGTTTTTTTCCGTCCACTTCTTTGACGTCGGGCTACGCTACCAGTATCACGGTAACGAGCGATGGTACGAGACACAAGATTTATTCACATTTAAATGCTGGAGTGTTCTAACGATAGCCACTTGTGGGTTTTCAGCCAAATAAAAAGAAATCGCACAATCACGCTCGAATTCCAACGCGAAGAACTTTTTTTCTGGAAAATTCTCAACAAAATGTATTTGTACGCTTGTAAACAATATAATGAGCAGTCATTGGAATAATTTTCACAGCTGTCGTACGAGTGGCTTTGAAATGAAAGCAGTCTAAATTGGTTGCAGTTTTTTCATCTCATCCTGTGGGTAGTACAAATAGCCTACGTATAACTAACTTTTAAAATTATTTGTATTTTAAAGATGAAGTCTTATTTCGTGCCGTATGGGTTTGTATTTGATATTTTGCATCCTAAAATTCATGAAGTGATTTTTTTAAAAATTTTGAAAACCTCAGATTTTGATGGTATTTAATAACAGCCTATGGCGAAGGGTATAGAAAACTAATACCAGCATCAGGGTTTGTATTTTTGTTTTTTTTTTATTATACTATTTTCTTTTATTGATTTTTTTTTTTGTAATATTAACTACAGGCAAACATAAATATTTATACAAACTTATTGAAAGATATCCTATACTAGCTTATATTACAAAAATATGAAAATATATTTTTCAGTTATGTTGTTGCTCGACTTTGAAATGTTTCGAGAAATAGTGATGCTCTTGATAATGAAAGTGATGACCATTCCGTTTTTTGATTTCCGTTCCTGCTGTTTTCCTTTTTCAGCCATTGCTAGCTCATGTCGTCCCTTGATTTTGATGCGACGGCTGTCGCTTTGTCGGGGATCTGCTTAATGTCAAATCAACACCGTTCCCTGCGGCAATCGTCCTGCCATTGGAAGTCGGGGTATCAAAGATGGAATTTAGAAATTTTGTAATTTCCGCATATGGCAATGAATGCCACCAATTTGTCGGTGTAATTTCCTCTCTGCCACTATGGTGTTCGGATGTTAGAATATGTTTTAAAGTTGGCTGATGTTTCTTTTTCCTTTTCGTCGATGTGTCTGGTTTGCCATTTGTGTGAGAAGATGAGCGCTGTAGATGAGAAAGGGTTTCGGTACCCAAAAAGATATCTGCCAATTGGGACAATTGTTCGACTTGTTGGACCAGACTATCGAGTGTTTTTACATTGGCCCGCAGAAAGTGAGCATTCAATGCCTTCTCCATTGCTCGGAATTCTTTTTCCAGTTCATCTTTGGTCAATTTTTTATGATGTTGATGTTGTTTTTCATCATTTGCCAGGGCTGTCATTGGACGATGATGTTGAAGATGATTTTCTATCAGTGTTTCCTTTTCATTTCCTTTGTAATCCTTTTGCCCCGTTATTGCTATTTTTCCATTATTGATCTCATCATTTTCAGCATCTGATGAGGATGGATTGAATTCCATCTCCTTCATCCCCTCTCTATTCTTTGTCACCATATCATCATTATCGCTTAAACTGAGCTTTGATATGTCAAGCAATTTAGTTTCAATTGTTGACACTTCTCCCTGGACGACCCCGGTGTGGATTGGTTTCATGTTTTTCTCCATTGTTGCTGTTATTTTAAATTCATTGTTTGTCGATTGTCCAATCGGTTTTGTTTCGATGTCTGCATCTTCTGTATCCATTTGTGTTGTGTCCTTTAACCTGCTTGTAGTTTCAACATTTACCATGTCCTGACCATTTACCTTTGTCTTTGGTCTGATAGCGTCCTTGTCATTAATTGAACCTTCATCAGCATGGGCATCACCGCTGTCGTCGTTGTCGTCGTCATCATCATCGCCATTGACGTTCCCAGCATTTCTAAAATGCTTAACATTGCTCCCACTCACGCCATCCTCATATTTGTTCGGCACTTCACCACCACCCTCGGAGCCAGCAGCAGCATGAACATCATCATAAGCATTCTCATCGGCCATTATCGCTTCCATCTGAACAGCAGCATCATCATCATTGCCATTGTCGGCTTTGGTTAAGCTACCGTTATTCAGATGATTGTTTTTAAATGTTGACCACTTTTCAATGCCTCCCTCTTGATTTTCTATAGTTTCTGTCAACGCCATTATCAGCATCTCTTCGTCTGAATCTGGTCTTCCTTCTTCACCTTCTTCTTCTTCGTTGTCGTCGTCATCATCATAGTACTCATCCTCGTCGTTGGCATCCTCATTGTCATTGTGGTCTTTGAATTCTCTTGTGGGTATCGCTGGGCCTGGGCCTGTGGTAATTTCAGCTGGAGCTGCTGCCATTGTCGATGGCAATGGCAATGTTGTTAATTGCATAGTTTGTGTTGTAAAGCAATTAACCGTGGCTGCACCATCCTCATGTAATTTCCCCCGCTTGGGGTCCTTATTATTGTTGTTGTTATCTGGACATTTGGTCGGTATATTTTGTCCTTGCTGTGACATCTTGTTTATTCCAGATATTTCTTGCAATGAATTTCCTCTAATTGTTATTAATTCATCTAAATTTGCTGTGGTATCCTGTGGTTTCAATTCGGTGTCATTTGTTGATGACGATGATGATGATTGTGAATTGGCAATGGGCCCATGAGGTCCGGCATAGACCACAGCGCTATTATTGGGTGTATTATGTAATGATATGCTTTTGTTAGTTTGATTATGAGTGGATTGTTCTCGCAGTTGCCATAGAATACTTTGGATGTTGTCATCGAAATGTGTTGGATCGGATCCGGAAGTAGATATTTCAGGAGATTCACTCTTTATTTCTTTTTCTTCGAGAGAAGAAGGTAAAGGTTCGAAGTTCTCATTTGAGTATTTATTTTTGTGAATTTGCGTCGAGGTATTTTCTGAGTTGCCATCGGGATTTGGCGAGGAATCAAAGGGTATATATTCTTGGCTTGGCAACTCAAAGGTGGTTGGTAATTCATAGTCGTATAAAGTCTCTTCCAGTGCAAGATCAGCTTCTGGATTTTCTAATAATATTTGAGTAGATTGAGAAGCCTTGAATGATTCATCAGAATTTGGGATTTGATCGAGAATTGGCATCCCGTTTGTAGTCAATTTAGTTGGTAATTCCATTGTTCCAGAACTTGTTGGCAATTCCATTTGCAATTTATCAACGGAACCGTTGATCAAAATTTTAGGATCATCCAGTGAAGAGTCTACAGATCCAGGTCTAGGTATCATTGGTAATTCATGAACCATATGTTTTTCGTTGATTGGCAATTCCTTTGTAGAATTCGATGTTTCGTTGATTAATTTTATTGTAGAATTATTGAGGTTCTTATTCTGCCAATTTTCTATGGAATTTAGTACTTCAGATTCAGTGTGATTCACATTAGGCTTACGTTTTATTGTCATTTCAATATTGTCAGGTGTGGCAAGTGCGTCAGTATTAAGATCAGCTGGCGTATTTTTCTTCTCAAAGCTTGGACCTGCAACATTTTCGGCTGCGGAACTTGAGATTTTTTCCCTTAAATCATTTATATTATGTATATCTGTGTTTGTTATATCTTCAACTATGTCTGCAATGCTTTCGTAAATACTTTCATCGGGCTTTGAAGTTTCCAATTCCATACCCAAGGAGTTCAAATTTTCTAAATCTTTTAAACCATTTAGTGTCGGAGCTTTACCCTTCTCTGCTTTATTTAAGATTGGCCATTCAGTTGTCATAAATGTTGTAGTTGGCAATTCCGTTTGTTCACTTACGTATATCTCCATGTTGTGATTTTTTGTTGAGGTTGTGCTGTTTTCCAATACTTTGAGGCTATTGGTGGTAAATGTTTCAGAATTCTCTTTAAAATTATTTAAATGTTGTATTTGAGATCCATTGTCTGAGGTTGGTAAATCAGAATTCGAATCGAATGTTGGCCACTTTGTTACGGGAATTGTTGTCAGTGAATCCATAGTTGGCATTTCTGTTACGGACGCTGTTGGCAAATCTGTTATGGGATTTGTTAACAGTGTACTTAATGTTGGGAGTTCTGTTATTGTGGAGACTGTTGTGCTTTGAAGATTTTGTAGAGTGTTCTCCGATGTCACAATCCTCACGGAATCATTTTTGGGGGCAGGTGAAATCTTTGAAGCTGAAAATTCCGTCGTAAGAATACCTGCTTTCTTAGTAATTGAGGATTTGGAAGTATTAGGATGTTCTGTTGATATTACTAACGCCTCAGATATTCGTTCTGGCTTTGTTGTAAGAATATCCCCTGGTAATGTTTTATTTTCGTGCTGATCGACTGTTGCTAGTTTTGGTAGCTCAATTATTGGAAGTTCTGTTGTAGATCCCTTGGTACCTTTTACTTTTTTCGATAAATCAACTACCAGTTGATCTCTAAATGGCATTTCCGATGTCCCAGATTCGAGAGTTGTTGAAATGACTGTAGTTGTTGTTAAACTCTCTGCAGCTGGAATTTCTCCAAATGCTGCCTTATTTTGAGTTAATTTGGTGTGTGGCATTTCTGTTGAAAATGTATTTGTTGTTGGTTCAGTTTTGTTCTGAGCAACATTTTCTGTTGAGGGCACCTTTGTTGTTGGTGGTTCTGTTAAAAATATTTCTGTAGTTAAAAAATCCTCTGTTAACAGGGATGGCTCTGTACTGAGGCCTTCTGTTGTTAGAGAGTCTGTTAACGGTGTATATGTTGTTGATGGCTCCGTAAAGTTTTCTTCTGTTGTTGACATTTCTGTTAAAAGCTTTTCCGTCGAAGGACCATCTGTTTGTGATTCTGTTGTTTTGTCAGAAATTTGTAGATCTCTTAATGTTGCCTCTGTTGTGATCGATTCTGTAGTAAGGTCCTCTGTTATGCTGGAGGATTCCGTGGTCGGTGTCTTCAATTCAGCTGTCATTGTAATGCGTTCAGGAAGTAGTTTTTGGTGTTCGCTTGTGGTTTCAGTAGTGAAGGTTATTTCTGTTGTTGATTCCTCTGTTGTTAACGGATCAAGTTCTACGACCTCTGTTGTAGGTTCTTGTCCTATGGGAGTTACTGTATTGATTTTTTTTAAATCTTTGGTGAATATTTCGAATGTTAGATTTTCTTTGGGTATTATTGCTTTAACTTCAGATTTTGTTAGGGGCAGGGCAGAATTGGCTGTAAAGGGTTCTGGGCTTGCCGATGAGTTAACAGAATTTACGTTTGGTTGAGATTTTGAAAGAATTTCTTCTTTTAATATTTCTGGTTCAGATACGAGTTCGGATTTTGGAATAGTTTTGTCTTTTAACTGTTCTGGATTAGAAACATTGTTCTTGTTAATGGGCAAAGCTGCAGGCAAGGTCTCATCTGTTGGATTTGTTGTAGAATATACAACTTTTACTGGTATATATGCTTCCCCCATCTGGTTGTGTGGAAGAAGCGCTTCAATTGATGTGACCTCCTTAGTTGGCTTTTCTGTTATAATTGTTTCGGATTCTTGCCCTTTTACTTCATTTTTGGGCTTTTCTTTTTCAGGTTTTTCCAATTCCATATCTGTTACGGAGGGTTCTGTAAATAACATTTCTTCGAATGATGATTCTGTTACGGTACTGGGAACCTCTGTAATTGCAGATTCTGTACCCGTTGTTGACTCTGTTAACATGGATTTGAGTTCTGTTATTGATGACTCTGTTAGAGTAGGTTCTGTAGATAACATTTCTGTTATTGATGGTTCTATAGGTATCATTTCTTGAATTAAAGATTCTGCTTCATTTTTGGGAAGTTCTGTAGAGCGGGATTCTGTTTCTGTTGTTGACTCTTTTAACAAGGATCCAAATTCTGTTGTTGATGAATCTGTGAGAGTAGGTTCTGTAGATAAAATTTCTGTTGTTGATGGCTCTGTGGGTAACATTTCTAGAAGTGGAGATTCTGGCTCATTACTGGAAAAGTTTTGATTGTTGGAATCAGTTCCTGTTGTTGCCTCTGTTAACAGGGATTCAGATTCTGTTGTCGATGACTCTGTTAGAGTAGGTTCTGTTGTTGACGGCTCTGTAAGTAACATTTTTTTGATCGATGATTCTGCTTCGATACTGGAGACTTTTGAAGCATTGGATTCTGTTTCTGTTGTCGACTCTGTTAAGAAGGATCCGAATTCTGTTGTTAATAACTCTGTTAAAGTAGGTTCTGTAGATAAAATTTCTGTTGCCAATGGTTCTGGTGTAGACGTTGTCATATTGAAATTTAACTGTTCTTCTATTAAAGCATTTACATCACCTCGTTTGAGGAGATCTTCTCTGGAATCAGCTGAGATATTTGTTTTGGAATTTCTGAATGAAGTTGTTACAGACTCTGTTAAAGAAGCTACATTTACTGTTGTTGGGGAATCTGTAGATATAGGTTCTGTGGATAAAAACATTGTTTTTGTTATTGGTGCCTCTGTTATTAACATATTGACTTTAGACCGTTCTTCTGTTAAACTTATGTTTTCCTCTCTTTCATCTACAACTTTGGAGGGGACATTTTCTCTTCTCAGTTTTGTTGTGAAATCTGATGAGGGGCTTTCTTCGTTTGTCTTCCTATTCAGGTCATTATTACCCGTTGTTGGCAACTCTGTAGAGGTCGATTCGAATTCTGTCATTGAAATTTCACTAAAAATCGGTTCTGCAGATGAAGACCTGTCTTGTATATCCGGTGTTGGAAGTTCCGAGGACGGAACTTCTGTCTCCGGAGACGGGACTACGATCTCTGTTGTAGGTGTATCGACTGGGGCCAGTTCTATATTTACAGTGGCCGGTGTCTTTCTTTCCGATTTGGCCATTTCTGTTGCCGTTAGCATATCTTCGTTCAACAACTCTGTTGTAAGACCTGTTGATGGGCTTGGGTTGACATGTCTGGAAAAATTCTCACTGGATTCAGGTTGGTCTGTAAATGGAACATCTTTTACAGTGGGATCTGTTATAGGTATGTTAGCTCCAGAAATGTCTGTATCTCCTGTTTTAATATCTATGGGAAGTACTTCCGACGATGTGGAGAGACTTTGGTTCCACATTTCTATTGTAAACCCAATTGGATTCTTTAGGACATTTTCACCAACACTAGTTGCATGAGTAGTTGAATCATTGGGCGCTTGTTGATCTCCATTTAAATAATCATTTTCCTTCCCACTATTATCTCTTATGTTTTTCAGTTTTTTGATCAAGGCGAGAAGTTTGTCTTCGTCCACATAGGGCAGATATTCAGAATGGTCGTTTTGGGATAATAATTGCAGATCTTCTGACTTTTTTAGGGTCTCTTGATGATTGCTTAATACTTGTTTCATTGGCTCGTTATTTCCCAATTTCCATTCCTTATCAGAAGCTACTGTTTCATTTGAAGTTGGTTTCAAAAATGACGTAATATTCAAATTCTCTAGATTTTTAATAAAAGAAATCATGGCTACATTTTCTTTCGCCGAAGAATTTTTATATGTCGGATTATTTTCGGAGGATTGAGACAAAGTTTTCAAGTTATTTATTATTGATTCAACCATAATTTCCCGATTACTCTCTGTCGAGTTATCTGTATCTTTCGCTTTAAGACTGGAATTGACTAGGCCAGGCATTTGTTTATTTGACATTGTATCAGGAGAGACATTATTTAATCCAAACCCATTGGAACTGCTAGCTTCCAAAGAGATTTGCTGAGACACAGGGTTGGCAGCAACATCACTGTTATTGGAAATTGACTCATTTTTATTATTCTTTTGACTACCAAGAACTATTTCCGAATCCCTCATGGCATTTTCAACATCTTGCAAATATTTTATAATTGTATTATTTTTCTTGTTGTTCTCCTTGTCATCCTTTGGCATATCCTGGAATTTGTCTTCCTTATTTGTTTTGTTATTTAAATTTCCAATTACAATCAAATTCCCGGTATTTTCCGTTTGGAATTCCTGACTTAAATTCATTGCCGTATTTAGATTATGCATTTCTTGTTCATCCCCATTGGTATTTTCCTTCATGTTATTACGGCCTCCTTCATTTGTGCCGATTGTCTGGCCAAGATACTGGCCTTTATTGTCAATTTGGAAATTGTTATCATTGTTTTGAGTGGCCTCTTTAAAGCCTGACCCATCCCTCTCGCCCAGCTCATTGGCATCATTTGATTCGATAGCCATGGTTGGTGACAGCGATGCATTTTTCTTTCTCTCCTCAACCTGTTGGAATTTCTTCAACTTATCAGCATTCTTTTGTAGAAATTCTAGCTGTTGTTGTATTCTCTCAAAATTTGACAATGTCGTCAACGTTGAATTTCTCTCCTTGGCAGAGTCTTTGTTGCTTTCCAAAATTCGTGTAAGATTCTGTTTAGTTTTTGTCATGTACTCGAGGAGGACATAGTCCAGCAGTGAATCCTTTAATGATGCAGATGATGATGATGGCGAAATAGAAGAAGAAACAGCAGCAGCAGCGACAGCAGACAATGATGTTGATGATGTCGGAGATGTAGCTGATGTTGCTTTGTCCGTGATGTTCGGCTTCTTCTCTGGATGTCTATCGTTAAACAACATCTCCATGGTGTTGGAGGAGGAGTAGGAGGAAGACGACGACGAGGAATCAGGCGTAGTTACCAAATCCCTATTATCCTGATAATTTGCCTTAATGTTATTTCTTGTAATCTTATTATTGTTGTTATTGCTGCTGCTGCCGATTACGTTAGTGGTAGTAAACGAGGGTCTAGCAGCCATAACACCCGTTGCTGCCGTTGTCTCCTTCATCTCTTGCAAATGCTGACGATAGTCATTCTTTAAATCCATTGGCAATAGCGTCTCCACTGCATCTTCTTGATTCTCAATGCCACTGTTTAAGACCAGGGCTTCCATTAACTGTCTCAGACGCAAATCATATTCAATATTATTCATGTAAAGATCAGATGCTGCCGTCGTTGTTGTTGTTGTTCTTACTGGCTTCCTTGTTGTTGTTATGGCCATTACTTTAGTTTTCAGATTATTTAATGAATGTGTTTGGGCTTTCGGTGGCATCGATAATTCCCAATCATCTCCATCAGCTATTCGATCATTTACCTCAAAATTTTGGTATGACATTTTGGCATTACGTTGTCTATTTGAGAGCTGCTGTTGTACATTTTGTGGCAGGGATTTGGCTGGAGGAAGAGAAGTTGAGAAAATATTAATTGAAGAGTTAAACTTAAGGTATGTAGAAAATATATATTGTAAAGCTGTAGCAATTAGATTTTAAATCCAATGTGTGTAAGTTTGAAGTGTGAGAGAATTGTTTAATATTCCTTAATGAGATGGCAATATTCTGAGGCTACTTGGATGCTATATTATATCTGAAGATAACGCATTGTTTTTGTTAAATTACGTCTTTACATTAGATCTTGCTTGAGAAAATTATTGGAACATGTGAAATTTGTAGAGAATGGGGGCTTATTTCGCATTTTATGAGCGAATTGGTTATTCAAAATGTTGACCCTTTGTGGGGGGAGGAGGTACCAAAAAGTGTGGTACGATGTATTCCATTTTGATGTTCTGTTGGTAGAAATATTGCCAGGTGCTAAATTTTTATTTCAATCAGACTTTTATTTCGCATTTTCTAAGATTTATAACTATTCAAAATAATGACCTTTTTTTGAAGGAGGTACCGGAAGTCGTACACCGATATGGTCTACTATAGCATCTGAGCTAGCTCTCATACAAATATTGGGATTTACAAAGTTTTCACGACATTCTATCTTGTTCTATAAGGTAAATTGTTATCTGTGAAATTGTTGAGCTTTTGTGGCAGAGATACCAGAAAGAGAGTTTCGATATTGCCCATCTCCGAACTCGATGCAAGTTTGACAATAATATCACAATGTACCAACTTTGAAGCAAACCAGATTCTCCCTTCGAGAGTTTTCGTGCCCACCATCCTGATATACAGACGGACGAACACCCATAGATCGACTCCAAATTTCTTAAAACAGATTTAGTTCAAAGATACCAAGGGTCTAAAATTTTATTTCGATGAGGCACGTCTTGGTCGTAGGCATGCCCAAATTCAATCAAAAGTGTGTAGACAGCACATATGTCTCCTCTCTTTCTCGTATCTGACAACTGCCCTGTTCAGAGACCTTCCATTTAGTGTGAAAGAGAGATCCGACTAAATCTGTGATACATTTGAATAATAGGCGAGTTTTCATTTTCTTTTCATACCTCCGAAATACTTGATCGAATTCGAGTAGAGGGTGAAACCCTCTCGACTTCGGGAGCAGCATTGCTGACATTTTGAGTGTTTCGATTTCTACTCTAATTTTTTCAACTGGCGCTTCCCAACAAAAGAAAAGAACAGAGAGTGAACTTCGTATAAAACCCGCTCTCTTCCAGCACCTTCGCTCGCAAGCAAGTTTTACTCACCAGTAAAGACGAGCAAATCTGAGATCTGGTTCTTTCTATAGACAATATTTCCATTTTGCTTCAGATGTAATTCGAAACATTTTAACTGTAATTCGTAGCGATTCATTAGTAATTCGAGAATTCCATTAGTAATTCGTAAAATTTCAATTGATTGTTTTAAAAAAATTCGAAATATTTCCTTTTTAATTCGAAATTGTCTAAGTGTTCCTCGAATTTTTATTTTATTTGTAATTCGAAAAGCAAATATTTTTTGTTTAGAATTTCAAATGGAATAATTCGAATTTCAAATTAAATAATTCGAAATTAAAATGAAATGTTAGGAATAACAAATGTAAATCTCGAATTGAAACTAAAATATTACGGATAACAAAAAATTCTCAAATATCAAAAAAAAATAAATAAATAAAAATTGAAAATATGGAAAAGGTTTAGAGTATCACGGAGGTACTTGACCTGTAATGAAAGTAAAATTCTAGATTTAGATCATGTCATACGTCTTTTGTAATCACGATATAGTCAAAACGAATTAAGATGGGAAGCTTACATTTTGCACAGATCACTCTTTTGTCTGCAGAGGCAGGTCAAGTTCGAGGGTGGGCTATATCGGTCAACGATGTCGTATAGCCCTCATATAACAGTACTCCCCGATATTCGATCTTTTGATGATTTAAACTACATGTTTCAATGGAATTGTCTGAAATTCCACCCTGAAAGAGAATTGTCTATACAGTACCCCCGATGTTCGGTATTTTAGTGATTTTAGCCACATTTCTAATGGAATTGTCTTGAAATCCACAAAAGGAGTTACTTGTGAGTACATTACGCCCTGGAAGGGAGTAGTATATATAGGTCCATGATATCGTATATCTCCTATGTAAGGGTCACTTCCAATATTCGGCATTTTGATAGTTGTAGCCAAATTTTTCAATGGATTTGTCTGAAAGTCCACAGAAGGGATTCCTTTTGAGTGTACCCCCTGGAAGAGAATTGTGTATATAGGTCCACGTTTTAGTATAACACCTATATAACGGTACCCCCAGATATTCGGTATTTTGATGATTTAAGCGACAACATTATCCGGAATTTTTTCAAATTTCCTTTTTAAACTTCGTGATGGGTACTGCAACCTATGACGGGAAATTGCCTATGCAGGTCCAGGTCTTTTTATAGCCCACATATAACGGTACCTCCCTCTTTTTATTTCATGGAAAATAGGAATTTTGTTATCATAACTCATGCATGGAACTTGAAATTGTGAGATGTTTCCTTGGTATCCAGGTGTATTTGCAATATTAAAATGTTTAACTAATTTTTATTTATGATATTTATGTTGCTGTTCGTATACATTGGAAAGTGCCGAACAAGTTTTTAGTATCAAGTCACATTGTTATTGTAATTATTGTTCACTGACCACAGAATTTAAATTTATTGTACATTAACATTTTTTACAACAGAGGTTCGTTTTCACAAATTCGACATTTTATGTCTTTCGATTGATTTGAAAGCCGTTTTTGACAAATTCCTCATTCGGTTTGATCTATTAATTTATGACATTCGTTTGTTGTTTGGGTTTTGTTATTCTAATTTTATGATTTTACTAATTTGTGTCGATTGTTTGTTTGCTTCACTTTGATCTAAATATTTTCGAACTCAACAACGCCCAAAAGAATTTCACCAAAACAAATTAATAATTCTCATCGAAATCACCTACCATCTGCGCTTGTTGTTGCTGGATTTTGTAATAAATTTTGATTGATAAAAAATAAAATTAGCACACTTTGACATAGATAGCTTGTTGTTGATCGCATCAACATTTTCGTTTAGAAATTTCAATTTGTTATTTTTGCTGTATTTTCTATTCGCTTAAAGTATAGTTTTTCACATAGCTCGTCCGCAATTACGTTCGTGTGATCGTCTGTAAATATCATGGGTAACTAAACCCTTAAAGTTGATTACAACAGAATTTTATGTCTTTTCGAATGTTGACATGCCATAAGGTTAGAATCAGGTCAATAGACCATCCGGGGGGAATTTACATAAAAATAATTCTTCTTTTTAGGTGAGAAATAAACACAAAAACGAAGAATCTTTACTTAATGTTTTAGTGTTGGAAAAATCCGTTAACGCTTTGTTAAATTGAGCTATTAACCTTTCGAAAGCATTGTCATACTGCAGCTGGAGGCAGTTTGTCAAAGGTGATGAAAATATTCGACATCGATGTATTTTAACTAGGTACAGTGGGTCGAAAAATTAATTTTTATAATATATTTTAGAATTGAGTTAGAGTCATTGCCGGCGGTCGATTATATTTGTTTAAGGGGTTTTGAGCATACCTTATTTTGGAGCAGTGAATGAAGCTCACGCGAATACAAAATTTCTGACTGTCTGACGCCCAGACGAAACGAGTGAAGCGTTTGATATGGCTGAGTTTTTGGAAATTCGTACTATAACGGTACCAAAATGTACTACTGAATGGAGCTCACGCTAATACAAAATAACTGACTGACTGACCGAAAATCAACGCCCAGTCGAAACGACTGAAGCTAGAATCTTAAAATTTTCCACGAAGGTCAGTCTTGGTGCTTAGGCGTTTGTATGGCTTGGATTTTGAAAATTCGTACTATAAGGGTACTTAAATGTACTAAAAATTGATTACTTGGTATTGGACAAACGGAATGAACTACAATTCTGAAATTCGAAGTGAAAATTATTCATGGAGTACAAAATAGATATACTAAAGGAAATTCGCACTTTAAGGTTACAAAAAGTTCTAAAATGGTACTAAACTTTCAAAATGGTACCATTTGGTATTTTGTAAACCGATAAAGCTAAAAACTTGGAACTTGGTATGAAAATCAAGGTGGGACAGTAAGTTTGGTATTTGAAGGTTGTTTTGATAATGTGTACTATGTGTGCAAACTGTACCAAATAGTACTAAATTTGTAAGATTTTCTTTAAGGGTGAATGAATAAGGGGGAATTTTCAAATTTTGTATTGGCATTCCTGCTGGTAGTAGATGATAGAGAGGTAGGTGTGATAGAGAGGTGGTTTTAGAAATGTGTACTACGAGTGCCAGAAAAGTACCAGATACTAAACAGTACTATATAATTTGTTAATGGGTGAACAGGTAGTGTTTGAACTGCTTGAAATTTGGTGTTAGGGTCGCTGTTCATGTGAAGTTTGGACATATGGAGGTGGTTTCGGAAATATGTACTATAATTGTACGAAAAGAATTGAATGGTACTATAATAGGTAATGGGTGAAGGGATGGAGATAAAGTTTGATATTAAGATTACTCATGACTTTGCGAAATTTGATATGTAACAAAAGTGACAATTTGGTGTCTGTGGTTAAGAGAAGGAAATTGTCTTGGATATCCGTACTATTTTACTAAATTTGGTAATGGAGGACATACAGAGCTGAAATCTTGAAATTTGATACTAATGCCACTATTGGTATCTGAGGTTGAAATATGAAGGTGGTTTTGCAAATCTGTACTAAAATTCAACGAAAAGTACAAAGTGGTACCGAATTTGGTATTGGGAGAAGGAATAGAGCTAATAATCCCGAAATTTGATGTGGATATCACTGTGGGTTTCGGTAGTTAAGAGAAGGAGATGGTCTTGGAAATGTGTACTATGATTGTTCGAAAAGTACTGAATTGTACTACATTTGCCTTTGCGTGAATGGATGGAGCTTGAATCTTGAAATTTGATATTGCTTGTTTCTAGGATTTAGATATTTT